CTCTTTCCTCTTGTTGTTTTAACCTTTCTGGTTCTGGTAATTTCTTAGGGAATTTGGAACTTCTTGGGTGCTTAGATCTTCTCCTATTTTAATGAGGAGATGGTGGTTTGTCTGGTCAACTCTCTTTTAAAGTATAGAAAAAGGTTCCATTCTCCCTTTATCCACTCAGGGAGCTGAGGGCAGCAGCCTCTGCCTGCCAGATAATTGGAATGGCAGACAAGTCTCTGTGCCAGTGCAAACTGGGCGGCCTCTAATCTGCAAAAACATCTGTTGCATTGAGTTACTCTCACATTTCAGGCTGCTGCATAAATACCCAGTGTTTACTAGGAATCAGGTCAGACATGGTTGCTGGCAGCCCCGAGCAATGATTTCCAGTCTTCCCTTCCAGCTTAGTACTGCTTCTCCCTTCTCCATACAGGTTTTCTATTTGTTCTTTCTCCTGCTCTTGCCACCTACTTTTTTTTTGGTTGGTTTTGGGTTTTTTTTTTAATCCATGGCCTTTTTCTCAACAGCGCTTTCAGGAAAAGTCTTCCTCAGAACACAAACGTCCACATACAACTGGAGAGCCAAGGTGGCAGTTCATAATTTCTTAAGCTGTGCAAAGATTTGCTAAAACTTACTTTTTCTTTGATTCAGCATCTTTGGGATGTTGGCAATAAGGACAGCAAAAGGCAGAACAATAAAAGGCCAGATCTACTCTCTTGAGCCAAAACCTGAAGAATTCTTGGCACAAAGGAACTGCTGATACTCATTAGCAGTGCTCTGAATCCTCTGCTTTCCTCTCTGTCACCCTGAGATGTTACTGGGAGGTGTTCTGAGGATTTGGGTTAGATCTATCTCTGCATTAACTCTTCAAAATACATGACCCCAGGCCACATTGGAGGGAAGAGTGAATCTAACATAGAGAGAAATCTTGCTCTAATACCCGGGAGCTGGCAGAGAGACAAGAGGGGAAGCTTGTGTCAAAAGTGAAATGACTTAATCATGGAAACATAAAATCCCCAGGAATTTATGTTTATGTGGAAGGATGGTCCTGAGCATGAGTTGTAAGTAGCCAGTAAGGCTTTTTCAGGAAAGAAGTCTGCTAGGATTGCTGTCCAAGATCCTAGAGAATAATTCAAATGTTATCTTGAGACTGACACTCTTACTTGTGCCTGTCCTGTATTCCTTTCTTCACCAAAGGAACAGCAGCTTTGCACTGCTGATGCTACAGTTTCTCTCTTTACTGAAGCAAGCCTGAAGGAATAGGAGCCTAGAGGAGATCAGAGGAAGTCTGGAGGGAGGAGCTTTCATGAATAGATTCTAAATATGCTCATGCCAAGGGCGTTAGGGACAAAGAATGGCATAAGCAATGTCAGAGATTATTCACATATCTGCAAAAACAGCTCACAGGGGAACCTCCTCCTCACTTTACTTAAGCAGTACCTGGACAGCAGATAGAGCAGCCCTCTCTAGGATTGCAAATTCAGTATCTTCTAGAGCAGAAGACCCTTATAAAGTAGATTTCTCTTTATGACACTTATTTCTGTGTATTCCAGTCAAGTGTTTCCTGCATCTGTGACAGAACAGTATTACCAAGTTAGCCTGTAGAAACACTAGAGTAGGGAGTGACTTACAGCAGGGAATACAAGCCACCTCAGCTTCCAGCAAGTGTGTAACATGGACTTTGGGCTAAGAGTTAATTTGTTTGTAAGTGTGTGTGTAGTCTCAGAGAGACACCCTGTTTTCTGGCAGTGGGGCTATTAGTTTATTGTGGGAGCAAAACTCAGTCTTTGGCTAAGTGCTGGCTCTTGTTTTCTTCTAGATTAAGGAGATAACATTCCTGAAGAATACAGTCATGGAGTGTGATGCCTGTGGTGAGTTACTGAGCTGTGTCTTATGTTCAACTGCCTCCTCCAAGTCCTTCATACCTTTGTGTCCAAACAAGAAGTAAAATGCCACCTCTGACCATCTCCCCAAAGGAAACAGCTTGTTTCACAATTATCCCAAGTCTCACAGGGTAATACTCACTATTAGTGATGAGTTTTTTTCCCCCACAACATTCTGCACACGTGGTTCCATGCTGTTCTCATGGTTCAATGGCAGCTGAAGCCATCACTCCTTTCCTGAGTGTGGGGTGCAGAAGTAGCCTTAAAAAGCTCATCTTTCCTTCCAGCAAAACCCCAGCATTTGCTTCCTTCCACTGTTTCTGAAATAAGCTTTGTCAGTGGTTTTGTGACATACCACACTGCACTTCTCAGCATAGCTGCATTCTGCTGCAGAAAGCTGCCCAACCATGTCTCCTAATGACCCAGCCCATGGCCGATGTTAGAATTGCCTGGGAACACACACTGGGTATCCTGTGGGATATAGTTGGCTACTCCTGAGCTGCAAGTGGAAGAGAACATCACCCCCAAGAGGCATTACTCTGCTATTCCTTCCATCCTAGTGCTGCCACCATCCAAGCAAAGAGGTTGTTTACAGAGGAATCAGGAAACAGGGGTCGTAAATTTTCCCATATAAATCTTGCCCTCTGCTCCCCAGTGTTTTGTTTTTTTTTTTTTTCCTAGACTGGAACTTACTTCCAGTATATTTGGCTTGTAGAAAGCTTGGTTCTTGGAGATGCTCTGCTATTTGCCAGTACGCTCAAAGGGTGGAGCAATAACCATTTCTGCATTTGGAGAGATTGTACTTCTCCTGGAAAAGAAATTAGCCAAAGCTTTGGGGACCTGCAGGACAGAAGTGCATTCATTCACAGCAATAGATTTAATAATTTGCTCATAAAACTGTCCTGAACTTTCTCTGTGTTACTTGATTTCTGCCTTCCCCACTTGCTCTTCTGCTTTATAACTGTTCTCCCATACTCCTCACTGTAGCATTTGAGCCTCTTTTAGTCATGCATTGAACAACGTGACTCACAGCAGTCGTGTGCTTCTCTCATTATTTCTCAGAAGGAGAAGCATGAGGAGAGGAGGCCTTGTTTTTAGTGAAGTTTTTGCTACTGGTGGTTTTTGTTTTGTTTTGTTTCAGGTGTTTTTATGTTGGGCTTTTAAGGTGGAGAAAGCGTGAGCAGAAAGTGTCCTTGCCACTTGAGAGTTGTAGGTGTGGGGAGACTTGTGACAATTCTAGATTCTGGGAAAGTCTATTCATAGACTTGAATTGTCCTTCAGTGAAGTTCTGCATCCCATACAGATTAATTTTGCAAGTTCTTTTGTGCTATGGGTCATGAGGATAAGGACAAAAAAGCCTGGCATTTGGCCTAAAACTTTAAGGGAAGCTGGTGTGCAGCAATGTGGGGACAGGCTTGATGTGTTCAGAGTGCTTCTGAAGAGGACTGCAGTGGCATTTGCTACGAGTTGGAATTTCCTACACATCACACAGAGTACTCCATGCTTACAGAGACCATATTGCTGTATTCCAGCCTAGAAGTGATGAATGTCTGAATAACGGATTGATTTCTGATCTGCCAGGGTGAAGTGAGGTTTCCTAGCCCTGTGGAGATAACGGGTAGCATATTATGCACAACATTTTGGCATGAGAGCTTTACGTGAGCCTGATGTGAGAGTATTCCTGCTACAAACCAAGCTGACCTGTTTAACATGCCTGCCTCCTACAGAGGAGATTTTGGCTGCAAGCCCTCCACAACACTTCCCAGATTTCAGCCTGTGCTGTGTGGGCTCTGCTTTAGCCAGATATCTTGAGTCCATACCACCAGTGAGGTGGAGTTCTAGAGGAAACAGGGAGAGAGCTGATCTCTGTGGAACTCCAAAAGAAAGGGCATTACACCAACAAGGAGAGCAGCATGACAAGAGTTTTGGACTGGGAGCTAAGACTTCTGGGGTTTTTTAAATTTATCTTTTGTCTGCTCTGACTCAGAAATCTGTCTTCATTTTTTCTCTATTTACAAAAAATAGAGCTGCAACTGCTCAAGCCTCAGACAGGACACAAGGAAACGTCCTGTGTGCAAAGCACACCGATATCTTCTGAGATGATGGGACCACCTGATGATAATCTCTGGCAGTGACAGCTCTGTTCTTAACGTTCCTCTTCTCCTTTAGGCATGCACACCGAGGCGACAGGCCCTGTCATCACCGTGACACAGTTTAACAGATGCCTCCCAAACTCCTGCTTCCCTGGAGTGGCCTGCACTGAGACCGGCACCGGCTTCCGCTGCGGACCCTGTCCCCCAGGTTATTCAGGCAACGGGTCCCAGTGCACAGATATCAATGAGGTAAAAAACAAGTAGAACCAGCTGGAAGCTACACAACTGTCTCACTTTTCTTAGAGTCTTATGGTTGTAAGGAAAAGTCTCACAGTTCCCCTAGGAGCTGAAGTTCAACAGAAACCTCATTTCACTGGAAGGAATTCTGTATCTCACCCTCCCTTCAGCTCTGTTCCACGTTGGTTTTATAGCCTGGCTAGCTAGGCAGTTCTTTCTAAAAGACACACAGGCTCAAACCAAATAAATCTTTTGCTTTGTACCACACAGGAAGGTGAGTTTGGAAGACGAGAACAGTCCCTTTTGGTCTTACAATCTTTTGAGCTAATGGCTGATGAGTTGTTAGAGATAAGATTTATTATGTGTGGAACAGAATCAAATGCTACTCGAATAGTCCTTTATACCGTAAATCTTACCACAGTACTTGTATTGCTTTACTTCTGCCTTTAAATCAAACCTTGCTGGGCAGATACTGTTTATTTTTTATTTTTTTTAAGAACATGTGGCATTCCATCAAACTTACTCCCTGTGTGTGTATGCAGAGCTTTACTCAACCATTAATTTTGCGTGTCCCTAAGATTGCTTATTTCTGTGGTTCCCAAACCATAGTCCTGTGCTTGCTGATTAGTCCACCAAGCAACCCTAAGTGTCTTGCAAAGCCATATCACCTCTATAACATTTCAGTTTAAAAATCTGCTGAAGTTTAAAAGGTCAATGAGAGATTTTTGAGATTGATGATAATCTCTTAGTCACTAAACCATGGGAACTGCTGTATTAAGGTACTGCATCTGCCAGTACAGAGCACAAGAATTCAGTGAAAATAATAAAATGTTGGAGAAAACAAAGCAAGCATTAATAGCAACTTTGGAAAGACAATGGCTTCCTGGAGTAGTAAACAAACAACTGCTGTTGTCTTTCAAAACAAGTGTAAGAAATGGTCCATTTCTCTGGATTCAGAGACTGCCAGGAAGGAAAGTGTGAAGTGAAGCCAGCTCTGTGCCTGGGCAATTGATGTCACCTAAGAAGAATTAGTACTGAAAGTTTATTTGTTTTACTTGTCTGCACATACTGGGACTTGGGAGAACAACTGAGATGGGGAAGCTGCATTTTCCACTTGCAAGGAAAGCCAGGAACTTCTATGCATTTTTTGTTTTATGCTTTAAAAATAAAAGTACAATAGCTGGATGTCACCCAGCGAGGCCTGCTTTGAGAGCTGCCTTCACAGCTGGCCTTGAGTGAGCCTGCCTCACAGTTCTGCACAACCTCTTTTTTGTTTCCAGTGCAATGCAAACCCCTGCTTCCCGAAGGTCCAGTGCATCAACACCACCCCTGGCTTCCGCTGCGATCCCTGCCCTGCCGGCTTCACTGGCCAGATGGTTGAAGGAGTTGGACTAGCATATGCCAGGGCCAACAAACAGGTAAGGCCCACAGACTTTGCTGTCTCCTTCAGAAGCCATTAACTCTTTCCTCTCTCTAATTATAACTCAAAAGTCTTGGAACCCTCAAAGAGATGGGAGGGAAATACAAGCTGATTGCATTGTATTGGTGGAAAAACTGATGCAGTAAGAGGAGAGACTTGCCAAGGGTGTCCTAGCACAGCAGCAAAGCAACCTCCACTCCAAGCCCTTACCTCTGCTGAATTTGTGCTGGACAGAATGTTACAGCTCTGACACCTTTGTGGCTGTGAAGCCAGCTTGGGGAATCCTTCATACTCAGACAAAGAAGAGTTGATGCAGCTACTGCCCCCACCCTGCTTCCCTGACAGCTATAGACAGGTTAAAGTAAAAAAACCCACCTAGTCTTAGTTTGGTTTAAAGAACACATCACCAGGAGCGGGGATGGCATGTGGCCTGTGTTATTTAGAGAGCTGCTAGCTGGTCACCGGACGCAGTCTTTGACCTTCTTGCTCCATTGACTCCCTTCTATCCTTTTACAGTAAGGAGATACTCTGACAGCTCGGCTCAGAGCTAAGCTGTTTTGCCAGGCTAAAATCTCTGGTGACTCTGTAGAGGGTGAACAGCTTGCCTGGGGTCAGGAGTATCGCTGGGATCTGGCTCAAGCTTGTCCGAAGGAAAACTTTGAGCCGTGGGTCCTAGTGAGGTGGGTCAGGGGCTTTGCTTCTGCTTCTCGTGATGCCCTAATTCTGTCATCTGCTGTGGTGTCTGCTTAAGAGTGAAGTTAATGTGAATTTTGTTCTTCCTGGGCAGGTTTGTACTGACATCAACGAATGCGAGACAGGTGCTGCCAGAAATTGTGTCCCAAACTCCATCTGCATCAATACCCGGGTAAGTATTACTAGAAAGCCTGATGTGGATCTCTCCCCCCCAGGCTCTGGGGCTGCTGTTAGCTGTGGCAGTCCAGCAGCTGAGGAAGGTTACAGCCAAGGTTTGCCAGGACCCATATTAGAGGTGATTTCCTATTGCTTTTTCTTGCAGGGATCCTACAAGTGTGGGGCTTGTAAACCTGGCTTTGTTGGGGATCAAGTCAGTGGCTGCAAGAGCCAGACAGTGAGACGCTGCCCTAACGGTGAAATTAGTCCGTGTCACGAGAAAGCAGAGTGCATCGTGGAGCGCGACGGCTCCATCTCCTGCGCGGTAAGGTCCAAACCTCCCTCAGATCCGGGTCTGCTCACTCCGGTTTCCCTTGCACTCTGCTTGCTCTCCTGGGTCTGCCACTGCCCTCTCCTGGAGAACATGCCTTCCCAGCACAGACCTGCTCTCCACCAACACCTGAGCTGCCACATTACCTCTTTCAGTGCTCTCTGGAGAACTGAACTGCTCCTGGCACTTCAGATCCACTGTTGTTTGGTTGTTTTTTGGTTTTTTTTATTGCCTGAAGCGCTACAAATTTGTCAGTCATGGCACATTACACACAGCTGAGCAGGGAGAAGCACCGTTCAGCAACCTGCTGGAGTCAAGACATTTTGCTGCTGCATCTGTCTTTATACAGGAACAAGCAGAGAGCTTGTATCTGAGCTATTTAAAATGCTATTTACAGCACAACTGTTTTCTTCCAGACACTATTTTTCCTGTAGAGCATTATTTACCTGGATTTGCAATGTTCTGTGCTGGTTCTCATGTAGAGCCTTCAATTTTGGAGGCATATGGCCATCAGGGGACTCACCAGCAGCCTCATTTTGTTTATCTGCTGTCTTCCAGTGCCTCGTAGGGTGGGCAGGGAATGGCTACGTCTGTGGGAAGGATACGGACATCGATGGAGTCCCTGATGAGAAGCAACGCTGCTCTGACAGAAAATGCCGCAAGGTAAGATGCAGTTGTCTCATGTTCAGCTGGGAACAGTGCAGCAGAGGAAAGCCTCACCAAAACTGGGCAATTCCCATGTGAGGGCAGGCCTTGGGCACTGGTGAGACCCTGCCCAACCTTCAGAACTCGGGCTAAATGACATGCCCAGCTTGCTAACAGGCCCTGTGTCACTTTCCTTTCAGGATAACTGCGTGACTGTCCCCAACTCTGGCCAGGAGGATGCAGACAGGGACGGAATTGGAGATGCTTGTGATGATGATGCTGACGGAGATGGGATATTAAATGCTGAGGTTTGAATTCTGATTCTTACCCTGACATACCTAAACGTACCCAGAGGTCCTGCAAAGCAACTGCCTACACCTGCAATGTGAATTTAGAGAACCTGCAGGTCACAGCACACAATGTTTCCTTTAAATCTGGATGGTCTAAAACCAGCAGAGAACATCATGGCACTGAAGGGACTTTACCAGTCACGGTGCCCTGGGAGTTAGGGAGTTTCTCTCACTTGGTCCACCTCTGGTTGGAGATATTTTCAGGTGCTACTGGTGTTCCCTGAACAGGCAGCGACTAGGCTGAACAGAGACTGGCCAAGGCTGGCTGCAGATAGCCTGCTGGGCTTCTCAGAGCAGCTGGTCACATACCTCAGAACTTTTAGTCTTTCTTTTACCTGTCTGGTGCCACACGTTTCCCCTCAGCCAGTCCCTCTCTCCCACAGGACAACTGCGTGTACACACGCAACGCCGACCAGCGCAACGCCGACAAGGATAACTTCGGTGACGCCTGTGACAACTGTCGCCAAGTGAAGAACAACGATCAACGGGACATTGATGGCGATGGGAGGGGAGATGAGTGTGACGATGACATGGATGGAGATGGTAAGAGCAGTTGGAGGTGCATATATACTGAGCTAAGAACCAGAAAGCTATTCAGCAGCAGCTAGAGATCCTCACGGCAGGTGCCAGCCTTCAGAAGCTCAAGCTCTACAGGAGTGGAACTAATTTCTGATGGGACAAAGCACAGTTTGATTCTTAAGATGCCAAGAGAAGCAGTCAAGCCAGCATCCTTCACAGTTCAGCTCTTGCAGGGTTTAAAGATCTATTTTCAGGATGGTGCTGACAATTTTTATTAGCACTTCTATTGTGCACCGTCACATCAAACCTGTGTCAGCCTAAAGAAAGAAAGATGTACCATGCAAACTGACCTCAGTCCAGACAAGGACTCAACTTTGTGCTGCAATTTAAACTTACAAAGAAGTATGGGAATATCCAGGTTGTTAGCAGCTAGTGGCTCCAGGCAGTATGTGCTGGGGCTGTCTTCTGGGGGATAAAAAAACCCAACCTGTCTGGCTTTAGAAACAGTCTGTGTGCTAATGATGCTGTATTTGCACAAAGCCAGCTTTCAAAAGCCAGAAATCCCAACTGCTGCTGGCCCGAGATGTACATGTTTATTTACAGAGTATTTCCAGTGCATCTAGTGCTGTTTGGGTCTGGCTCCATCCTGCCAAGTAGCTCCCCGCTGGCATGATTCGCTGGTGTATTAGGTAAAAGCAGAGAAGTGGGAAATGAAGTCATACAAGTTGCCAGTTTAAATTGTTCCTGTCCTGTCTCAGGCCTTGAAAAGACACTGTCTAAATCTTCCATCTCAAATAGCCAAGATTAACCTGGACTTTTAATTACATAGACGTCTAATTGAGAGGAGGAAAACTCTGTCATGGTTTTTTGGATCTACAGACAGTTTCATCTTCATCCTCTTGGCCACTCACTCCTGCACTGATATGATGCCAGTTTGGAGCTCTGGTCTTCAGGTCTTTAGCTTTCTCCCAGGAATGCAGTTAGGGACATTTCCTGCCATGGCATGCTCAGACATCCCTCGTGATGCAGTCTGGAGTATGTTTTAACATCAGTTGCTGCCAATTTCTTCCATCCTCCATGACTTCCAGCATGTAATGTAATTAAAAGTGTGTAAAACATACACAAAAATTGAAATTGATGCTTTACTACAGGAATTCAACTGTCCTTGTTTTTTGCCATCTCTTCTATCTAAAAGAGATCCTGCTGCACAGAGCTTCATGGCCCTGTTGCCTTGATGAGTCCACTTTGCCTGTTTTTACAGGGATCAAAAACCCAACGGACAACTGTAAAAGAGTTCCTAACCCTGATCAAAAAGATGGTGATGGTGATGGAGTAGGAGACGTGTGTGACAGCTGCCCGACAGTCAGCAACCCAGACCAGGTAACTCAGCATCCCCGATTTCACAGTCTGAGGGGTTCCTTTCCCTCAGGACAGTGCTCGTGTCACCTCCTGAAGGTGTGCAAACCCAGTCACTCCCCAAGATGACCACTTGCAAATTTTAGCTGCCATCCTGCAGTACAAAAGTCCAACCCCTCGAGGAGATCAAACACCCTGGGGTATAGAAGAGGAAGTCAGAGAGGAAGCGTTGCGCTCCAGACTTCTCTCTTCCTACCCTGCTCATCCGGGTTTAGAAACAGAACTTGTAAATAGGGCAGAAGGAACCTTCCCTCTGCTCTCAGCTCTGTTCTCAATCAGAATGATCATGGCTCTGAGGCCAACACACACCTCTCTCTGTTCTCTTTATTGCCTAATCCTCCTCTTGATCTATGGAAAGTTTAAATTAACGTTGCTTTCTTTTACCAGAAAGACACCGATCATGATCTAGTGGGAGATGTCTGTGACACCAACCAGGACAGGTGAGAGCCTGCTGCAAAAATGATACTGAGGTTTTATGAAATCTTGGGGATGGAGCGGGGGAAAGGCACGTGTTGGCAACTCCCTGACAACTGGCTTGGCCTGATCTGATAAAAAGACAGAGGTTAAGGGTGGAATTTTCTTCAGACCTCAAGAAGACTGGCCCAAAGGCTAGTGGATGTAAAGCTGGCTGACAGCAGGCTGGCTTGTCATCAGCTACCACTCGCAGATGTGTTCATAGACTACAGCTGGAATGTTTCTGATCTATTCTTTGTGAAACTAATAGCTTAAGACTTCAAAAGACTAAAATCACCAACTATTGCTGTTCTCATCGAGGATCCCAGCTCCTCGAAAGGTGTTGCACGCTTATTTTAAAAGCACACGTCGGTGAATAATCTTTACCTGTCATTTTCTCCACCAGTGATGGTGATGGCCACCAAGATTCACGGGACAACTGCCCCTCAGTGCCCAACAGCTCCCAGGTGGACACAGACAATGACGGGCTGGGAGATGAATGTGACGATGACGATGATGACGATGGGATTCCAGATGTGAAACCTCCAGGCCCTGACAACTGTCGACTTGTCCCTAACCCTGGCCAAGAAGACTCGGATGGTAAGGGAGATGGATGCACGTTAGCTCTGCATGGGGGTCTCCTGTTCCTGGTGGCCAATGCGTATCAGTTTGACCTCTAGAGATAGACAAGAAGCAAGATCTCCTCAGTACTCACTTGAGACAGTCCTACATCATTTTCAGATCTCAAATAAACCTGACATCAGGAGTATATTTGGGAAAAGTTCTCTTCCAGAAGTGTCTACAATTTGAGGTGTTTCTTCTGTTCACAGCATCTCTGCAAGCAGGAGAAACCTCAGGCTTTCTTTGCAAGAGACTTAAAGAGTCTACCAGTGCTCTGAACACCTCTGAACCTTGCACAGACATGGCTGCCTTAAACTGTGCTAGCCAGAAGCTAGTTAAGTAAACCTCAGGTGCAAGGGGTAGAAGAAATTAATGAAAGCTTGGTTCTCCTTTTCTTCTATCGTGCTCTCAGGTGATGGTGTGGGAAACCTTTGTGAAGATGACTTTGACAGAGACATGGTGATTGACAGAATTGATGTGTGTCCTGAGAACGCCGAGGTGACACTAACAGACTTCAGGGCTTTCCAGACAGTTGTATTGGACCCTGAGGGTGATGCACAGATTGACCCCAACTGGATTGTCCTCAACCAGGTAGGAAATTGGGAGGGAACAAGCCTGAACCAAACTGGATGCAGGTTTCATTAAAAGGCCTAACGTTACTGTTCTACAATGGCCTGATCTAGAGCCTCACCCCTGGGGTACCTCTCATTTAAAAGTTAGTAGGTTTGGAGCTCTACTAATGAGTCAATGTTCATCTCATTTCTCAGGGCATGGAAATTGTCCAGACCATGAACAGTGACCCTGGCCTGGCTGTAGGTGAGACACTTAATTTTTTGTCCTACTGGAAAATTCTCTCTCATTAACTGCACACTTCCCACACAGGTATTTCAGCCTCTACTTAATGATTCCATCCACCTCCTGGGAAAACATTTTTAGTAGTAGGCAGAGTCTTTAGATTTGGCTTAACAAAATCCACCTCCCTCATCTGAATCCAGAAAGAAATGGATCTACATGTTGTCATGGAATACAGAGCATTTGTTTTCCTACTGATTGCAGGTTACACGGCATTCAATGGAGTGGACTTTGAGGGCACCTTCCATGTCAACACTGTCACAGATGATGACTACGCTGGCTTCATATTTGGCTACCAGGACAGTTCCAGCTTTTATGTGGTCATGTGGAAGCAGATGGAACAGACATACTGGCAGGCAAACCCCTTCCGAGCAGTAGCAGAACCTGGAATTCAACTGAAGGTAAAGCTGACACTGAAAAAGAATTCAGGGCTGGCTTTGTGCCTTTTTCTTTTGCCACACAAGCAGTGACACAGGCAGCTACGGTCAGTCAATCCTCTCTCCACACATTTCACCCATCTCACATTCTTTGTGTTAGGCAGTGAAGTCTAAAACAGGCCCAGGTGAGTATCTCCGCAATTCCCTCTGGCACACTGGGGACACCACGGACCAGGTGAAACTGCTGTGGAAAGACCCTCGCAATTCTGGCTGGAAGGACAAGACATCTTACCGCTGGTTCCTGCAACACCGGCCGCAGGTCGGATACATCAGGTGAGGGGCTTCCAGTTCCCTTTGCACGGCTGAGTGGAAGTTTAACACACAAAACAAGGATCCCCTGGGGTAAAGAGGAGGGGGAGTGTCTGACTGAGGAACAATTTCTATTTCTTACTCTCTTCTAGAGCTCGGTTCTACGAAGGCCCTGAAGTTGTAGCAGACACTGGAGTTGTCCTGGATACAACTATGCGAGGAGGACGCCTGGGAGTCTTCTGCTTCTCCCAAGAGAACATTATTTGGTCGAACCTGCGTTATCGCTGCAATGGTGAGTTCCTTTCACAGTCAAATACTGACATCTTCACCATTTTGCTGTCGAGTTGTTCATCCCTGGCCAGCCAACACCCCCCCTGCGATGGGATTACACGCAGCAGCTTATTCTATTTTTCATTTCTGGTTCTAATTTCAATTTGCTTTAATCTCATCTTCCTCACAGACACCATTCCAGAAGATTATGAAACATACAGAGTTCAGCAAGACTAACCTTCGATTTAAACATCTGTCCAGCAAAACTCCCTTTCAAAAACAAACCCAAACCCCCCCGTGCTCAGCTCCCCACTATCGCTCTGGTATATTGTCTGAAACTGTAAGTACCACTGCACCCTGCACAGCACCCAGCCTCAATCCACATTACCTGGCATCTTGTTTTTTACATCAGCAACTTTCTTTAAACGCTACAAAAACCTATTGGAAGGGCAGAGGTGTAGCCAGCCAGTGTGACTAGAAGCCTCAGCTGCTGTGAACACTCGTTCTCTACGCTACATGGGAAAAAAAAGATGTGCTGAGAAGCTACCTGCAAGTAGCTGGAATTGTTCGAGGAGGTTTAGCATGGATGATTCCCAGGAATCTTTTCCCTACCCAAAGGCTCTCAAGTGGGAATGTTGTTCTCCTTTTTCCAAGACCTACTGCAAAGCAAACCCAGCACTAGTCTGAAAAGGACACAGAGAGCAGCCTATGTACAAATCGCTCACAAAACATTAAAAAAAGGAAAAAAAAAAAAAGCACTTTAAGGAGAGTATCTTTGTTCTGGAATGTTGGATAATAAATAAATACTCTGGAATGTTGGGTAATAAATAATAGAGTTCTCCTTGGTCATGCACATGGTGCTTTTTCCTCTTCTGAAACTTTTTCCATCGGGATGTGTAACAGAGAAACCCTCAAAAGCTGAAAGCGACAGCGCAGCTAGAGAGCCCGCAGCTGAAGTAATGATTGTGTGAGCAGCACAAATGCCCAGGGTCACCTTTTCACTAAAGAACCTCCCTCTACTCAGACTGTCCTACCTGGTTCTTGTTCCTGGCACTTTTAGAACAATAAATCAAGGTTAATGTTTGATTTGTTGTTATGACACCGTGCCAGGGCTCCCACAGACAGCCCAGGAGCTGTGAGTGTCGTGGGTGCTCACCTGAGCTGGGAGCAGCAGAAACTCACAATGGGCTTCTATAGTTGGTGACCTGGAAAGTCTTAGATCCCGTGCTACTGCAATTCCCAGTCTCTTCCAGGTAAACAATCACCTGCCAGCATCCCAGTCTGCCCAGAGAGACAGGAAAAGCCCAATTCAAGCTGCTTCAGATAAGCAGTTCCCATTAATTATCCCGAAACTTCCTTGTAGTTTCAGGAGACGCTCACGGTTTCATCAGAAAGGCAGTTCCTGTCCAACACTCAACAGCGCAGCTTGGTAAGTTCATTCAAAGCTCCACTCTAGAATGGGGTGTATGATAAACACCCTACACTGGCTGTGCTGCTTCTGCTGAACGTTACCAAACACGCCCTGTGTGAACACAACGTCTCCTCTCCTCCTGGAAATCTGATGGCAAAAGCTGCGCTGTACCAAGCGCTGGTCTCCACAGCGACGCGTGTTTCAATGTCACATCCCAGAGGCAACAGCCTAAGCAGAGATCTGCCAAAAGAACACAAGTTTTGCTCACTGACTCATTTAAGAGACAGTTTGCTCACTGATCATCTCCCTTTACAGAATTACCTAGATTGGAAAAGACCTTTAAGATCACCGAGTCCAACCATAAACCTCACACAGCCAATTCCACCTCTAACCCATGTCCTTCAGCACCTCGTCTGCCCGTCTGTTAAACCCCACCAGGGATGGTGACTCCACCACCTCCCTGGGCAGCCTGTTCCAATGCCAAACAACCCTTTGGGTGAAGAAGTTTCTCCTCAGATCCAATCTAAACCTCCCCTGGTGCAACTTGAGGCCATTTCCTCTCATTCAATCTATTTACCGCGGTGAAGGCTACACCTGGTTGTTGAAACACGCAGGTCTGCTATAACCAGGCACGTCTGAACATTTACACACTCGTTTCCTCTTTCAAAAAATCCCACAACTCAAACACACAGACTCTCCTCAGCCTGAAAGCTCTGAAGCTGCCCAGCAAGAACTTGAGGAAAGCAGAGACAGTCACCACCCCGTCACCAAGAGATTTCAGCACACGGGGGCTGCTGCTGCTGCAGTTCAAATGTGGAGACTTACCACGAGGCTTTGCATCCCTCAGATCCATCTGCAGGTTCCTCTGGAAGAGTGAGAGAGTTCAGTTTTCATGGCTGTAATCAAAACAATCCGATTTTGCCATTTCTTGATAAACATGAGCACTGAAAACACCAACATTTCAACACTAAAAACCCTCAGAAAAGCAAAGAAACAACAAACAAGAGTAAGGAAAAGCTAAGCAGCCAGAGACGAAAACCAGTCCAACTTTTATTACATTTCATTTACAAATAATGCAAAGATACAAAGACAAAAGCCTCCACACAAAAAAAAAAAGATTGAAAAGAATGTACATTGAGTTGAGCTGCTTTTTCACATCATTTCTCAGATTGCAAACACTTAAAGCCAACTTCAGTTTTTCACTTTACCTATAGAAAAAAACACAATAAATAAAACTTTTTTATGTCGCAGGGACAACTCTTCCAGAGTTCCTGTGCCACCAACGCTGGAGCTGAAGAGAGGATTGCATATATCAGTGAAATAATCCACATATTATTTTAATAGAAAAAGTTTAGCTTGTAAAGAACAGTATATTATACTGTCTCTGAAAATGCATAAATCTGCCATTTTTCCCCAAGCTCAATGAACGACATGAAGTTGTTTTTTTAGCTGCCAGTCTGTGAGAGAAGCTGCCCAAAGCAGCTGGAGTTAATTTTATTAAAATCAAAAACTTTCCCTTCGTGAGTACAAATACATTTACCTTCCACTTCTCCTACGAGGAATCCTTCCGCAGATGGGGGCTCCGTTAAGGTCAGAAGAAGAAGAAGTATCTAAAAGTTCTAATTCCTCCTCAAAACCAAACCTCAAGATCTACTCTCTTATTAGTTAATAACCGACTGCAATACAATTATTCTCATGACTACGCTGTAGAACGCCGACCAGAGACGTGGATACGGAATATTCAGACACACAATTATCTCATGCCATGAATATTCAGGACCCAGTAAGTAAATGACATTTTGTTCAAGCAAACTCTACACCCCCCAACATTTCACCCCATAAATATCGTCACTTTGATATTCATCATCTACTCGGCAAGAAGAGAAGCTATTTATCTTCTCTATATTGAATGTCTTAGAAATTCCACAACTGAGCCAGAATTCAGCTCTCCCTTTGAACCTGTGGCATTGGACATCAGCGAGGACATTCGCCAGCCACTTGCTTTTCCTTCTTGACAAACAGCCAGAGCAGATTTGTGTTGAATCAAAACCTTCCCCTCGGTGTGGGACAATTCAGCTCCGTTTCTAGGAGTCACTTTAAACCCGTTCGATTCCAGAAGGAAATACTGACAACTCCCAACTCCAGCTGCAGAAACCGGGTCTTAAATTCGATTTATAAATGGAGACTTTTCATCTCTTTTTGTTTTTTTTTTCTTTTTTCTAAAGCACAGTATAAAAATGAGACAGAAGCACCCACAGGACACGTACAAACGGACTTTACATTTCCCTCTCCGGACGGAGCAGATCCAAGGGCAGAGGGAGACTCAGTACCCACAGGGCAGGTGTCTCCCGAGAGCCCAGAGCACACACGGAGCTTTTCCAGGACATCACCTCGTCCTTCCCCCCTTTGAACAAACGATCCCGGTTCCCCAAACCTCCGCGCCCCAAACCCTGCTCTGCTTCCACAGATTCAGCACAAACATAAACCTCTTCCCGCCGGCTGAAGCCTCCCCCGAGGCTTTCCCCCTCCCCATTACTCAATTATAACAATTTAAGTTTATTGAGAGAAAAACCCTTCCTACTGCACACTGAAGGAAAGGGCTGAAGGGTGGATGAATCTGCACAGGTCTCAGACTAATCTTTAAAGATTTAGCAAAATTTGCAGCTGGTAGAGAATCCCATTCCCGGGGCAGAACACCCCTTTCCCTGTAACCCTCCATTTTCCTGCTTAAAAAATCTCAACCACAATTAAACAAACTCTCCACTCACTTGCGGAACAGGGCGCCCTTGACAGATTTTAAAGCTTGATCTGCATGAAGCTGTAATTAAATTCAATAAAGAAAATTGGAATTAATCAGAGCTTATAGCTGAGCAAATTTCTATCCAACATCCCCATCAGCCTCCAACTAACGGGACACAGATCAACCCCCTCCTGTCCTCGTGCCACAAGGCACCATCCCCAAAGGATGGGGTCAAATCCTGGCTTTGGAGATGTTTTTAAAATAAGTGAGTGGTTCTGCTCTTGCAAAACTCAGGTGTCCAGGGCCGGGGAGGGTCAAGAAACGAGCTCTGAAGGGACTCAGCTCAGGACAAGCATCTCAGGAGCCTTTACGGGCTCTGACTCCAAGACTCACGTTTCTCCAGCAGAAGCACCAACTCTTTTAGCTTTGTCTCATTTTCAGAGACGTTTTCGAAGCCGAGTGACAGCTCCTTTGTTCATTAAGTGTTAATATAAAGCTCAAACACAGCTTCTGTTTCAAGAACACACATATCAAGACAAGAGCAGGGAGGGAGATTCTGTGAGCGATTCCACAATCTCTCCATTCACACGTGGAGCATCTGCGGCCACCTCAGGTCTGTTTATCCCATTTATTTACCGAAGGATTCCCTAATGTCCAAGGTAGAGATGAAATCAGGGTGAGAGCTGAGTTATTTAACTGCGTGTCCCCTCCAGCCTCTTTGGGTTTTGAAAACATTGAGCAGACGAGTCGAACACCATCAGGCAGCAGCCGCCATCTGCCAGCAGCTTCAACACCCACCGGTTCCTCGCGCAGCAGCGGCCCCTTCGCTGACTCACCCGCCACAAAACACGAAGAAAAACGCTACAAAACAAAAACCTGATCCAACACAGATTAAAAACCCAACAATTTTAAGCCAAACAGAAGCCACGTGAAAGCCAACGCGCCTGTTCACTGGAAGCTGGGGCACGTCTGTCGCGTTCCCCGCGTTAACCCCAATTCACTTCCCTCCCTGGGAGGTTTCTGCTGCATCATCAATAGCAAATTAGTCCAAAGGTAACTCAAGTCTCCCTAAAACTGCGACCAAAG